AAAAAAAAAAAAAAAAAAGTCCTACTCCAGCAAACACATACTTGCACAAATGAATTTCTTGGATTTTTTTCATTTGAAAATGAGATTTTTTACTAGTACCTTTTCCACAGGGTTGTACAGTAAGAATGGAATCAATTAATATAGGTACAGGTCTGAGGGATTCCTGGTAGATAATAAAAAAAATAGTGGAGTCTCAGCTAATCACAAGTGGCCAACTATTCTAACAGATAAAAGCTGGACCTTCTCTGTACCTTCCTTCCGTTCTCTGTATGCTACTTCCTTTTCTCTAGCTGTAAGTATCACGGTCCCACTTGGTGGAAGCATTCTAAACCGCTTTTTGATCTAGACTGCTTTGTGACTCTAGGATCACAGATAAAGCAATTAAGAGCTGCAAAACTAGATTCACTGGACTTTTGTCTTTTAAACACATTCTTTCCCTTTTTGAGGAATGTGTTGATAGACACTAGCCTGTAACTATTCTGTCTCTGGGTATTGGGAGGGAAATTTCTTGGAGGTGAGCAGATAACTTGGCTTTTAGCTCCTACACCTCTGGATGTAAAGAGTATCTCCTTTGACCTGCTGTAGAGATTCTTATGCACCACCTACTTAAAGAATGATGTCCTCACTGGGTGGGACCTTCAGATTCTTTTTCTTGGGGAGGAAGTAAATATATTTTGTTTGTTGGAAAGACAGGTACTCCAGGCATTTAGTGGCCAGAGGGCAGATGGTGATAACCTTTAGTGCTGTTTGCCAATATCTCCACTGCTCCCCCAGTCCAGGCACCGGGTGGGGTGCACTGTCTGGGCCGCTGGAGGATGAATGGAGCCAGCTGGCTATTCCGGCCAATGAATTGTAAACAGGAGAGGCATGTATTCCTTTTAGGACAGAGCATTTAATTATTGGAGTGACACTCTCAAGAGCTATCTCTTCCATTGCCATAATGGCCAGGCACATGCCTGACTGGTGCTCCCTCATTTGGTCTAGGAGAGAGGCTAGCAAGATAGAAAGTCCTAGCGCATTGCTGGATATATATATATAGCAAGAATGGGAAAAAGTCCTTCACTCTTGTAAGCCACCAAGATTTTAGGGCTGTTTGTTATGACAGTTGAATTGACCCTAACCTAAAAATCAGAAGTTGTGAACATTTTACTGACATAAAAATCACCTCACACTCTTTCACCCTGTTTCGGGGCCAAGAGTCTTGCTAAAGGGCAGAGTAGAATTAACCCAGGGCTGAATACATCACAATGCTGAGAAGGTAGTTTATGACTTATTGCGAATGTCATATTTTTTTTTTATGCTAGAGATTTGTTTCTGTTTGACCTATAAGGGTTTCACCTACCTATTATTAGAACACAAATCGTTTTGAAATGACAGGAACATGAAAGTTGGCAACTAGGAAGCCCATCATTTGGAAACCACTGGGATAACTCACAGTCGGGTACTGGAGCAGGGGAGTTAACAAGAAGATAGGAACTCAGGCAAAGCGGATCTGACAAGTTTAAAGTGCTGCTGGCAGAGATACTCCAAGGGAATCCCAGCTGTCTTGGTATTCACTTGGTGATGAGCACTGAAGGGAGGCAGGTGCTTTTTAACAGTAGTTTCCTGCAACTTGATTTGCTTATAGACTACAGAGGAGGGGTCCAGGAAAGTCACTGTATTGATGGCATTGGGTGTAGAAGAGGCCAAGTTCAAGCTCGTTGATTATGGCGAGCCATTATGGTGAGCCTTGACACAGGCCTAGCCATGACTGAACTTTGAGTCACCTCGCTGGCACGGAGGTGCTCTCGCCCATAGCCACGGGCGAGTTCAGCTAGTAGCAGATGTAACCCATAATGGTCGTTATTGTTTCCCTCTGGAATGTGTGGGCGGTACCCTCGCTCCCTCGCTCCCATGCAGCTGGAGAGTATAAAAGGGCGAGGTTCTATAATAAAGCAAGCAAGCAACTGAAGAAGAAAGGTGCCTCCCGTCTCTCTGTCCTCATCCTTTCAGGTTTAGGACCTGCTGGCAGGACCCGGACGTCGCGAGCAAGCAACTAGAAGAAAGGTGCCTCCCGTCTCTCTGTCCTCATCCTTTCAGGTTTAGGACCTGCTGGCAGGACCCGGACGTCGCGGCTCGCGACAGTTGATGAAGAATATTTTTTAGCAGAACTATGCTTGTTACAAGGTGTGATGAGAATATATGGTGAATGTTTAAATTCTTAAAAAATTATTATAGTAGAAGGCACACTGACATTAGTACTCCCCTGGCTGCACCCTTATCCTGTCACTCTTGCCGCCACCTACAGCAGTCCCGGAAGTCGTCGTCTTTCATGAGTGTCTTTCAAGTTGCGATTAAAAAAAAAAAAAAGAAAAAAAATACAGCGAACGCTTCTTCTGGGTGCCATCCAAAGGAAAGGCAAGTTTATACAAACTTTATCGTGCACCTTTGTCCACCTCATTCGCTGGATCTGGCACCAAGTGACTTCTGGCTCTTCTTCAAAGTCAAAATCCCAATGAAAGGTAAACGTTTCGAACTGATTCAGAATATCGAGGCAGCCACGAGAGCGTAACTAAAGACAGTCACGGGAATGCCCAGAACTGCTTCAGAAAGTGGCAAGAAAGATTGGGTGAGAGTGTTTGAAGCGAGGGGGAGGATTTCTTGGGGATGAGTAGCAATGTACGTTTTACTGTCATAAATTTTAAAAGTTTAAGCAATGTATTTTTCAATCACACTGCCGGTTACATGGAATACACTGTACTAAAATTATAACTTGAACTACAGTGGAAATCTTGTTAGTCTGTTTCTCCCTCCACACCTATCCCAGGAGCTCTTCTTCCTGCTAATTGGTGACAGGCTTCACTTACCTACTAATTATCATGACTGGTTGACAGGTGTAACTAGGTTAAACTGCAAACCAAAAAGATGCCTTGATCATAAGAATTTTAGGTAGCCTAGGGTCTCTTCACTAATCTTTTAGGGGAAGTGAAGTCATGACATACACAGTCTCTGAGGAACTCAAAATCTAAAATAATAATGGATACTATTTTTGGCATTCACTATTTTATTATTTATCTACTGGTTAATAGTCATTGAATACTATTATATGTTGTACCATGCTTTATTAGTAATTCTCATGACTACAAATTCATCAGTTTTTGTAGGGACTTTTAAAAGTTATTTCACGTAATGTTTCTTTACCATTTATATATTACCGTCTTAAAGCTTCAGTTTAAAGTCTGTCCTCTTATAATATTGGTTTTTAATACAGACTATGTCAGTGTTATTAGTTCATTCCCTAAGAACTGTGAGCAGGTGAGAGTAAGGTGTATGTGTGTGTGGGGGGTGGAGCATAATCAGATTTGTAGCATAATAATGATTTCCAAACAACTCCACTGTACCGTGCAGAGAATGGATGGTAGAACACAGGAGCAGCTGTGGATAAACAGAAGGCTGCTGTAATATTCCAGGGAGAGAGGCAATGAGACCCTAGGAACAAGTAAAAAGAGCACAAAACAGCTATTGGGTTTCTGGCTTGAAAAACATGATGGTCAGTTGTCAGTCATTGAGCCAGATAGAGTGGGTTGAATTTCCCAAAGGATAGTTCCGCCTGGAACCTGTGAATGTAACTTTTCTTAGAAAAAAGGTCTGTGGATAAAATTAATTGAGGACATCCTGGGTTATTCTGGGATCTTCTAAGAGGAAGGCAGAGGGAGATTTAAGATACACAGGGAGAACATGTGAAAGTTGTAGAAGGCATTGAAGTTATACAGCCATAAGCCAAGAACCACTGGAGTTACCGGAAACTAGAAGAGCCAAGAAAGGATTGTGCATTAAACCCAACCTGCAGAGGGAGACTTGATTTCAGACGTCTGGCTTCCAGGCTGTGAGAGAATACATTTCTGTCACTTTCCATCAGGTTTGTGGTGGACACTGATATGCTTTATTGTATGGCGTGCACTCTGAGGAAAATCAGCAGCCGTGTTCTCAGCTGCTCTGTGGAAAGGCTTACAGGACAAGAAACCAAGGGAATTCTTCAACCAACAGCCTATAAAGCACCAAGTCCTACCAACAGCCGTGTGAGGGAGCTTGGAAGAGGATCTTACACCAGGTGAGCATCCACAGGAGACCTAAGCAGAGGGGTTGGGCTGGAGGTGCCCAGGGACTTCACACCTGGATCCCTGAACAAGTAGAGTGAGGAAATAATGTGTGCTGTAAGGCATTAGGCTTTGCGGTAATTTGTTACACGTCAACAAGTAACTATGACGAGGGGTTTATTTACTGGAGGAAGAGGAGGGGCTACCAGTGGCGGTGAACTTATGGCATATGGGCCACAGCCAGCTGTTTATTATTGGAAGCTCTGAAAGGATTGCCACCTGTGGACTTTGGATGGTTCTTGTGGAAGGTGAGAAACAGTGCAAATGACTGGCAACTCAGTAGGGTTTCTGGGCAGTGGTGGACACCAATTTGAGCTGAGCGACCATGGTTTTCTAGTAGAATGAGTCTGCTTTCTGCAAGAGGCAATGAGGTTACTATTTTATTTTCTAAAGGAAAATTCTATTATGTTTAGATTGGCCATGGGAAATAGAACTCTCATTTGATCTTTTCATGACATCATTGGGAAAATTTATCTTTTTAGCATATCTGCTGAGGGTCTGTGTATTAATCTATTTTCTGTTGCTGTAACAAAATACTTGCCCAGGGTGGTGGCATGCACTTGTCATCCTAGCACTGGGAAGGCTGAGGCAGGAGGATCACTGCAAGTTCAAGACCAGTTTGAGCCACACAGTGAGTTCAAGGCCAGTCTGAACTACACAGTGAGGCCCTGTCTTGAAAAACCAAACCAAACCAAAATACCTGAGATTAGATTATGAGGAGAGAGGAGAGAGGCAGACCATTTAGCTCACATTTTAGAGACTGAAAGTCTGTGATCAGTGGCCTCATTTGCTGAGCTTTTGGTGCTGGCCTCACGGGAGCTAGGAGAGATCACATGGTGAGACTGGAAGCAGAGGGGCTGCTCTTTTGTAACTCGCTGTTGGGGCCCTAAATAAGGTCCCACAAGAACTACGGTAACTCCCCATCGCTGAAGCACCTCTCGCGAGGCTTCACCTCTTTCTAGTCCCACAGCCTCTCACTGCCATACTGAGGACCGAGCTCCCAACACATAAACCTTTCGGGGTCAAACTTGCCCCTCCAAACCACCGTAGCCCATTATTCACCAGATATTCTTTCCTTTTCTCCAGTGCTTGGGATTAAACCGAAGGTGTGCTCTGCCACTGAGTTACATTCCCAGACCTGTTTGTTTTTTTATTTTGAGACAGACTCTTACTCATTTGCCCAGGTTGGCTTCCAACGTGAGGCTCCTCTGCCTCAGCTTCCCTCAGTGCTGGGATGTTAGGTGTGCTCCACCATCCCCAGCGCAGGCGGTCTTTATTCACTAACGAATATTAATTGTTTAATAGATGACACATGGGGATGTGAGGCTTGTGTTCTTGTGGGGACTTGAAAAAACTATAAGTAAACAAGAAGAAAGCAGGCCAAGGGGGACAGCGAGAAGGGCTGCTCTTTTACATAGAGAGGCCAAGGAAACTTAGAGTGAGTTGTAGAGGCAGAAGATAGAGCAGCAAACATGGTATAGCCCTTGCCCTTGGAAGGGCCAGGGATTTAGCTCAGTGGTTCCGTCGCCTTCCTCACAAGCGCAAGGGCCCGAGTTCGATACCCGGTACCAGAACAAAACAACCCAACAACTGAAACCAAACCAAAAGATAAAGCCCTTGCCCTTGGAAAACTCACTTTCCAGTAGAGGAAAAAACAGAACAAGCAAAGTTTTCATTGCAAATGCTGATAGTGCCTTAGGTAGCATTCGCTGGGTACAATACTCTACAGTACCTACAATTTAAAGGAAGAGTCTACAGTAACCTACAATTTAAAGGAAGAGAGGTTTATTTTTGGCTCAGAGCTTTAGTCCATGGTTGGCTGGCTCTGAGGTAGGAAGAGAATGGCAGTGGAACACGGTGGAGGGAAAGACGCTCAACCCATGGCAGCCAGGAATTGGAGAGAGGAGAGAGAGGAGCCAGGGGCAAGGACACACCCTTCCAGGCTGGCGGCCCATGCAAATGTTCTCTGCTGGGTCTGTGCTCGCAATGCCCAAGTGGCAGTGGTGCTTTGTGAAGTTAGAGTTGCTTTTCTTGCTGACAGCATAAAGTGTTTCAAAACAGGCGTAGAGTAGTAGAAAGAGGGGGTAGGTTTCTATTAATAGATAGTATAGCCACATCAAGGGTAAACGTTTTATACCAGAGGGTGAAAAGAATAACTACATGAGCCAAGCTCCCTTTTAAGAAGTGTCAAAATTGTGTTAATAATAGCAATAAATATTTATTAGGTGCTTACTCCGTGCCTGGCACTGTTCTAAGAGCTTTAAATTATTAACTAATTTAATCCTTTCAAAAACCCTATGGGACAAGACTATTGATTTAATCTATTTACAGTTCAGGAAACTGAGACACAGATAATGTGCCCAAGGTTACACAGCGGGCAAGTGCCGATGTCTGGCCAGGACCCGTGTCATGTGCTGCCTTCCTCCAAATCTGTTCGAAGAAAATTAGAAAATACTGCGTTAGAAAATAATGTGCATTATGACTTAGGTTTAATGAAGTGAATTATAGATGTGAAGGGAAAATTAATTTTAAATATCTCAATGTATTAAGTACTATTAGATTTTTGGAAGTCAGGTTGAAAACAACTTAGATTTACAGATGACTGACTATTTTGCTTTGGAATTTCTAAAATATTACACTTTAAGATTGCATAGCAACCTAAGCTGTTATGGAAACATTGAAAAGGTAATGACTTATGATTTATGTTAAAATTTCAGTTGCTTGTATGCTATATCCTCTAAAACATTCTGGAAAAAACTAACCTTGGTTATGGACAATAGTGGTTCTTTGTGTTCTATAGTGCTGCTGTCCTACGGTACAGTTCCAGAACTCTGCATTTTATTTTTCTTGTTAGTTTTGAGGTCAGTCTCCTACTGACTGACTTTCATTTAATTAGGTTCTTAAGGAATAGTTTTCCATTTATTTTTGCAGCAATTTTATTTATTTTCATTTTTATTTTTGGTGCTGGGGATCGAACTCAGGACTTTGTGCTTGTGAGGCGGGTGCGGTGCCACTGAGCTAAATCCCTGGCTCTACAGCAGTTTGAGACTGACAGCAAAATTGAGAGGAAGGACCAGAGATCTCCCTGCCGCCCGGCCTTCCCTATGGTCAGCATCCTCCACCAGAGTGGCACATAAACTGGAGCTGATGGACGTACACTGAGACGTAATTCCCTGAAGTTCATAGTTTACGTTAGTGTTCACTACTTAGTAGATCCTGTGTGCTTAGACAAATGTATAATGCCATGGATCTATCATCCCAGTAAGAGTATTGTCCCTGCCCTAAAAACTCCTTTGTGCTCCACCTCCCCAGCCTTCCCTTTCCTTTAACTCTGGGCAGCCACATCTTTTTACTGTCTCCATAAACTGCCCCTTCCAAAGTGCCACATAGGAAAGAAATCAAGAGCCACGCACTATGTGGTGGACTTAAGTCTGTTTTCTGTTGCTAAGGACACAATACCACAGACTACGTAAGTCTTTGGCTTACAGTTCTGGTCTGAGGTTGAGGACCTGCAGATGGTGATGGTTTTCTAGCTGGTTGGAGGGCACAGTGACACAGGGCATCATGTGGTGAGACACAGGGAACATGCATAGGTGTGTGCATCCTCTGGATTCTTTGTCACTAGCCACCAGTCTTCAGTCATGATTGTACTACACCTCATGGATGATCTTATCTAATACCATTCGCCTCCCAGAAGCCCCACCTCTAAACACTGTAGTCAGATTAATATTGTATCTTCTCAGTATCTCACCATGGGACTAAATTTCAATACATGGAACTGTGAAGACACATTCAAACCATATCCAGACCGTGGGAGCGGCCTTTCATCTTGGCTTGTTCTAGTTAGTAATAGGGATTGAAGAGTCTTCTGTGTCTTTTCGTGGCCGAATGATGTTTCACTGCTACTTATATATTCCACAGCTCATGTAGTCATTCCCCCGAAGGACTTCCTGGTCACTTCCGAGTTTGGTCTTTCTTATATAAATCTATAATTATGTATAAGTAGGTTTTAGCGTGCACTTTAAGTTTCCAGCTCACTTGGATAAAGAACAAGGGGTGTGGCTGCTGGATAGTTCAGTAAGATGGTATTTTGATGAATAAGGAACTGTCAGACTCTGCCACCGGGGCTGTACCATTTTGCATTCCTAACAGCAACGAGTGACAGTTTCTCTTGGTCCTCGTCCTTACCAGCATGGGATGTCATCCACGTTTGGGATCCTTGCCGTTCTAATAGGTGTGTCATGATATCTTCCTGCTACTTTAATTTGCAATTTCCAATTTTAGTATATGTGCTGTCGAAGCAAGCACTAATTTGCAATTTCCTAATGGCAAGTAGGTAACTTTTCTGAAGCTTATGATCACCACTTGAGTCTAAACATAAAAATAAAGGAATATCTGGTGCTGGTTCTTCATTGGAAAAAGTCTTCTTTATTTGTAATCCCATAAAACCCCAGATTCAGTTGTGGAGGGAGAAAGTGGTCCGAGGAGAAAGAGACAGGCAATAAATTTCAGTGGGGACAAAAATATACAATATGATCTTTTCTCTCTTTTCTCTCATAATGATACATTCAGCAGCAGCTCTATGTGTCTGTCTGATAGAAAACATTCTGACCAGCCAGGCACAGCAGTAATCCCAGCATTTTGGGAGGATGAGGTAGGAAGATCTGAAATTCAAGCTCAGCCTGGCAACATAGTGATTTAGCAAGACCCTATCTCAAAAATAAAAAGTAAAAAAAAAAAAGGGGCCGGGAATACAGCCCAGTGTGAAGGCTCTGGATTCAATTCTCAGTACCCCCCACACAAGAGGAAAACATTCTAGACATCTTACCAGTTTAACAGGAGATAGACTTCACCAATCTAATCAATATATTTACTTATGTGCCTCAGAGTTCCTTCAGTTTGGATTGCAGGCAATCATTTTTCACTATAAAAAATGCTCAATAAAGTGAGAATAAAACTTGATATAAGGATCTCTCTCTCTCTCTCTCTCTCTCTCTCTCACTCACACACACACACACACACACACACACACACACACACACACCATAATGTCTGATGAAAACAATCTTACTTCCTGTTGAAAGATGGAATGCAGCCCTCCCGCTGCCCTCCTTAAGGCCCAATCTCCAGCCCGGGTGGTGGTGTTCTCTTATTTGTTTTTGCATTTTTGCTTTGTTTTGTTTTGTTTTGTTTGCAGGACTGGGGATCAAACTCAGGACCTTGCATTTTGCAAGGCAGGCTCAGTGGGGTGCTGTTATTTTTAAGAGGTGAGGTCTCGAAGGAGGACTCCGGGTCCACAGCTACTGTGGGACCTCAGCCCCTTCTTGCTTGTGTTTCAGCTGAGAGGTGACTGGCTTTGTTCCACTATGTACTCTGCACTGAAGCCTAAAAGCTACAGGCCAGCCAGTCATGGATGGAAACCTCAAAAACCTGTGAGCCAGAATAAACCTTTTCTTCTTTATAAGTTGATGCCTCAGGTTTTTTATTATAGTGATGGAAGTTTTAAATTTCTTCAGGTCAGGAAAAAGACAAAGATGTCTACTTTTCCCAATTATATTTAATGTTTTATTAGAGGTTCTATACAGGGAAACTGGGGAAAAAAAGTATTTCAAGGCATACAGATTGGAAAGGAAGTAAAATAATTGATCTGTCTTTGTAAATGGAATAAATCTTCCAAGTATGACATCCTAAGAATTAGACTAAAAAAAAGCTATTATAATTAATAAGTTCATCAGAGTTGCAAGAGATAAGAGCAAAATAAAAAAATCATTGGTGCTTACACTAGCAATGATCATTCTGAAAATTAAATTAGGAAAAAATCCATTTGCAATAGTATAAAAAAGAATATAAATTGAATGCATAATGTATTGCTTTATGCAGTTACATTTTAAATCAGACAGGATGAAGGAAAAGATCTGTAAGGCAAAATACATTTACATTATATATTTACCTATGTAGTTACATTTGCTAGTGGTATTTATTTCTAGGTGTGGATTTGAATTACCGTCTACTGGCTTTCTATTTTAGCGGGAAGAATTCTCTGTAGCATCTTTGTTTGGTTTTGTTAGGCCACTTCTGCTAGCAATGCATTTTCTGTTTTTATTTCTCTGGGAATGTTTGAGTTTCTCCTTTATGTTTATAAGAGCAGTTTTCCCGGACATAAATTCTTGGTTGCCAGATCTTTCTTTTAGCACTTTGAATCATCATCCCACTGCCTCTGGCCACCATTGTTTCTAAGAGGTCTGCCGTTAATCATATTGGGTTCCCCTGTACGTGCCAAGTGCCAAGTCGTTTTGTTCTTGCAGTTTGCAAGATTTTTTGTCATTTTTTTTTTTTTTTTTTTTTTTTTTTTTTTTTTTTTT